CACATGAGACTAGAATTAATCAAATGCTAGAGTTTAGTAATTAAATAGCAACAACTAACTGGTTTTTATTATTTAATATTAATATAGATAATTATTATTTCTTTATTAGGAAACTTAAACATGTATTCCTTATTTCATTCAAGAAAAAAAATACACAAAACTGAAATCATATTTTAGAATCCCTCATGCTGATTTCATGTTTTTAGTTATATCACATATTTCATTTACTATTTATTCACATGTCTTTTTTCATGTCTTTTTTTTTCCTGTAAACTCCCAGTGGAGCATAGGGCCGCAACAACACCTCGCCAACGGAAGGTGTTGTTGCAGTCACTTGTAGCAGGTTGGTTTTTACGGGGTGGAGTTGCTAGCCCCGCGCCCAACCCTCCCCCTTTCTCATTCTGGACTTGGGACCAGGCAAAGACGGAAGTTGGCATGTTTGATGTGACGGTGATTCGAACCCGCGACCCTCAGATTACGAGTCGAGCGCCCTAACCACCTGGCGATACCGGGCCTTTTTCATGCTTACTAAGTCTTAAATCCAAGAATCTTTGTTCTTCCGTACTTTAGTGATTATACTTAAAATTATACTGTGCAAACTGCCCGTACTTCTTAAAATTAAAAAAAAATAAAAGATCCCAAAATACGAAAGATTGCAGCTTTTGCGTAAAGCCATTTAGACAATAGCATTTCAACAGACATCATTGTTTCATATTGGGGTATCAACGTACATAGGAACGCCGAGGTCTGGGTTGTTTGACAAGATTTTGTAAACAGCTTTATTTTTTAGGACAATTTGGAATTAAGCACAAAACTAAACAATGGGCTATCTGCGCACTGCCGACAACGGGTATCGAAACCCGGTTTATAGCGTTGTAAGTCCGCAGTCATACCGCTGTGCTACTTGGTGGTAAAATGTAATTTAAAAACTTTATCATCAATGTATGATTATTAGGGGGCTTTTTAGGGCAAGAGTTGTGTAACGTGTTGACTTTGACTTCATTTGTTTTCGTGGCAGCTGTTTAAATAAATGTTTCTCCAAACATTTCTTAACCAAGTTAAATTTGGAAAGGTAATTACAATATATATATATCCAAGCAAAACAATTTCATTTTCCAATTATTTTATATACAATTTAAATTATATACTGGAGGACTTGCAGTTGGGTATAGTACCTCGCTACCTTGCCTATGTACATGTACTAATTAATGGTCAAGTGAGCAAAGTGAACCAGTTCGTTTGGCAATTATTTGCGTAAAAATTAAAACCAAGGAAGAAACCGATTCATTTTCTTTTTCGCACATTTTATATATATCGTAAAGACTTTTTACGCTAGATGGATTTGGCTAAAAGCAATACACCGTCATGTAGCAGCACGAATTCGTAAACTTTTCATAAAAACAACTCATTACTGTAACATAGAAATTAGCGTAAGGTATCTATGGATAATATATTAAGTTCAACATTTGATCATATAAAATTGTATTTAACGTAAGGTTTCAGTTAGCCTTCAGATAATCAAAAGTTCTATATACTATGAATAATGCAAAACGGCTTTAACTACCAATCACTATATAACTATTGTTATTACGATCAAAAATATTTTAATTGATTAGATTTTAGTCCATTGATGTATAGACACAGAGAGTTAAATTATTATTATACTTTTATATTTTCAATTTGAATAGATAGTTAGATAGAAAAAAGAAAATTACGAATGTATTCAGAGCGTATCATACATTGCCTAGTTAAAATATAAAGTTCCAACTTGTGCTAAATTGTTGTTTGTCGAAGCTCAATCGAAAGACCATTAATTACGTTATTAACATAACTTAGTAGGTTTTCAATACCCAGAAATACGTGATCGAGATTAATAAAAATTTGTCTTTTTTTTGTTATTAGATATCATAATGCAAATGATATTCTGAAAGTACGAAGATTAAAATAATTTCCTTTGCAATTTTTATTTTTATTTTTTTGGGGGTTTAATCCATTTTGTTTATCAGATACTGTTGAGCACAGTTGCTGACTCCAAAAGCATTTTTAAATTCATAGACACTTTACAGATTGTTTTCCCTTCTTCATTAACAGTAAAACTAACTGGTGTAAGCTTGAAGAGATGGATTAACATTGCAAGAATTGCGAATTTAATACCTCTGGTAGAACACCGTGTGCTTTCCTTTTTACTTAAAACTTATAGAAGATCGTTCAGTATTTTATGACTTTGTTTATTGTTATAGAATAATGTTGCGTCATCGAGATCATGTGATTCTCACGCCCTCTACTTTCTAGAACTACCCTGTACTTTGGCGAATGCTCTAGTATTTACTAGATACAGGGTAGCCTGGTATATAAAAGAGGGTGACAACGTGACGGGGGAATAATGTGTGTGTAGGTAATGAGTAATTGAACTGCGGTCAGAGAGAGACGTATTGTTGAAGTTAACGTTCGTTCGTTA